CCGGGGGGCGGAGCCCTCCGGGGCGGTTTCCGGGGGCGGGGCCTCCGGGAGCGGGCCCTTCCTGGGGGCGGGGCCTTCCTGGGGGCGGGGCCTTCCTGGGGGCGGGTCTCCAGGGCGGGGCCTCCGTCGGTCCGGCGCGCTGCCCCACGTGCCCCCTGTCGCCCAGGTCTGCGGCACAAGGTCCTCGAAGCGCATTTCTAAGCTGTCCTACTACCAGGGCGTGGTCATCGTGACCTGCCCGGGCTGCCAGAACCACCACGTCATCGCTGACAACCTGGGCTGGTTCTCAGACCTGGCTGGGAAGAGGTGAGACCGCCGCGGGGGTCCCCCCCCACGCTTGGCCCAGCGCCCCGCACCCTGGCCGCGGGAGTGCCCCCTCTCCCGCCTCCTTCCCCACACAGTGAAGTGGACTCCAGGCAGACGCCAGGGTGGACAGGGTAGTGTGAGACATGGTTTTGCCAACTTGGGGCCTGGGCCAGCCCCCGGGCCCCGCGGGCAGCGTCTGGGCGGGCAGGCAGGTCCATAGCTGGGTCTCCCGAAGGCGACCGGCCGCGACCCCGAGACCGCCTTCCGCCGCCTTGGCCCTTCCTTCACTTGTCGCCTCACCAGCCGTGGTGGGCAATGGCCAGCGCTTCTGGGCGGGCGGCCCTGGGCAGCTCCCTGACTTCTCAGCTGCGTCCTCCCCTGACCTGGGGTGGAGGAAGCGGCTACCTCTGGGGACTGGGCAGGTTCTGTCAGGTGAGCCGGGGTGGCCCTCAGGCCATCCCAGTACTCCGCTGTTTGTTTTTTTTTTTTTAATGTATTTATGCATCCAAGAGCTGGGGTGCAGGCCAGGGGTGGAGAGTGAGAGGACACCCCAGAGGCTGCGTGGGGAGAACAGGTGGACCCACCGAGACCCACTGCTGAGGGGGCAGTTGGGAGACAGGAGGGGTCTGCTGCACCCTGGGGTCCCTCCCTGGCTGGGGGTGGACCGCGGCTGTGGCTGTCTAGTGCTGAGAGGAACCCCTGCGCCCCAGGGAGGCCCCAGGACCCATGCTTTTGACCAGGCCTGGCCGGGGAGCCCAGGACGACCTGGGCAGCTGGGCTCGGGCTGGGGTGTCACATGTCGCCTCCTTCCAGGAATATTGAAGAAATCCTGGCGGCCAGAGGGGAGGAGGTGTGCAGAGTGGCCAGCGACGGGGCCCTGGAGCTGGTGGTGGCGCCGGCGGGGACCCCCACCCCCACTGATGTTCCGAAAGGGGGTGAGGACCAGGATCCCACCCTCCCTGGCAAAACTAAGAGCAGCTGACCAGCCCTCTGCCTGGGAGTGGCCGTGACGAGCCCCCCGCCCCCGGACTTGGCCTGTTCGCTCAATAAACCGACGCGGTGGACCTGACTCCATCGTCCCGGTTCCGGCGGCAGAATGGTGGTGCCCACCGCTGGGCTGCCAGTCCTGCCAGCCTCTGTCACCGGGGTCCGCGCCACGCCTGGCTGGGGCTGTGGCCTTGGCAGGCCCTGTGGTGCAGGCCATGGCCAGCAGAGACTTGTGGGGAGGCCCAGGAAGGTTGGAGGGGTGCCTGGAATGGCCAGTCAGCATTCTCCCTGGGGAGTGGCCCCCAAGGTCCTGACCATCTGGCCAGACACCAGGACACACATCCCGCTGGGCACCACGGGCCCTCGAACACCAGCCCCAACCCCGCCCTGGGCCGGGCAGCCCTGCCCTGAGGCCCATCTCCAGCCCCCCCACGCCCCTCACCCTCCCGCTTGGGGTCCTCGTGTACAGTGGCAGGCGCCGCTCGGCCCATCTCCACAGCCTCGGGCCGTGCCCCGTGCCCAGAATCGGCAGCCAGCCCCACAGGGCCCTGGCCTGTGCCCCCTGCATCTTCTCACGCGGTCCCGGAGCTTGGCCTCACCCTGCCGACCCCAGGACCTGTCCCCCGACATTTGTTCCTGGCGGGCGCCACGCCTTTTCCTGCACCCGGCTCGGTGGGCCTCCCGGCCACTGGTTCCCCCACTGCGTGGCAGCACGTGGCGCCCACCCAGAACCCCCCACCCCGCGGTGTCTCCTGGCCCGCCTTCGCCCAGGATCCTCTCCTCATGCAGGGGCACCCTGGCCTCTCCCCGGGACACAGCGGCCGCGTGGCCGCGCGGCGGGCACCATCTGGCCCGCCCTTTTGTGGGCAGTGGGCATCAGTGCCACACCCTCCTCTCACCAGGGCCCACCTGACCCTGTAGTCGGAACCTGCGTCCCTCCCGGTCCCTCACCTCCAGCCGAGGCCTGGCCCCCTGGGGTGCGGGGACCCCCAGGGTCCGCAGAGGCGGCGCTGGCCAGGGAGACCTGGCCCGGCGGCCTGGCCGGTGCTTGCCCTGAGGAGCCCGGGCGCGGCTCAGGGGGGCCCGCCCCCGCTGGCGACCGGACGAGCCCCCGCCCCTACGGCGCCCCTGCGGCTTCCGCTGTGCAGACTTTATTTGGCTGGGGAGACGGGTCTCGGCCCTCTGGGAAGGACCCGCGGACGCGTGGCAATAAATAGGCGCGTACATTCAAGTGTGGGGTGCCGCCCCGCAGGACCACCCCGCCCTTGGGTCGGCATCCTGCGCCGGGCTCCCCCGGCTCCCCAGAGGGCCTGGCTGGCGGAGGGGCCCACGCCGGCCCCAGGAATGGCTGCCGCCGAGTTCACGCTGGCGGCCACGCAGCCCGCGGGTGGGGGCAGAGCCGAGCCCCCACCCCCGCAGTGTGGACACCCCTGCTGGCCCGGCCACACGCCCTCGCCCCTCTGCATGGCAGGGCGCTGAGCGGGCCCCAGCTGGAACCCCAGGGCCTGGTCAGCGCCCCCCAGGGTTAGGGGCTGGGCCTGGGCTCCCAGCAGCTCACTGCCCCTGGGCGGCGCCCTGCAGGCCCTGGCTGGGCGGGGTGGGGTCTATGCCCGTGTCCCCAGCTGCCCCCAGGAAAGAGGCTGACTCTTCCTGGGGGCCCCCGGGACGTGACGGGGTTCACACTTGGCCGGACAGGAGAAGCACGGGGGTCTAGGCGGCACGGGGCCCAGCCGCGTGCGGGGCGGGGCGGGGCGGGCGC